TACCATGGACTGCTAGGAAAACAAACAGATTCATCCTGGAAAGGGATGAAAAAACCGGGCAACTCCTTGGAGGCAAAGATTCTGAGGCTCTGTTTGACATACTTTGGACATGTTGTAAGGAGGGACTGGTCCTTGGAGAGGGGCATCATGCTTGGTAGGTGGAGGGACAGGACAGCGCAGGAGAGGAAGGCCCTCTATGAGATGGATTGATTCAGTGACTGGAGCAATTGGGATGGGTGTATCGGAGATGGTGCGATTGGCACAGGGCAGAGCGGAGTTTAGGGCTGTTGTACACAGGGTTGCTATGAGTCGCAAGCGACTCGATGGCTCATAACAACAGTGGACTAGGAGGCAGTCGTCTGAACAGAGAAAGGAAACAACAGCATGGTTTAAAATTGGGAAGGGTATACAAATTTGTTCTGTCTCTGTACCTTTTTAATCTGTGCAGAACAGATCATCCAGGAGGCTGGACTCAGTGAGGAGGAATGTGGCATCAGAATTGGAGGAAGACTCTTCAGCAACCTGTGATATGCAGATGACAACAATGTTGCTTGCTCAAACTGAGGAGGACCTGAAGCACTTGCTGCAGAAGGTCAAAGACTGTAACCTTCAATATGGATTGAAGCTCAGTATCAAGACAACAAAGATTCTTGATGAGCCAATTGACAGCATTATGATAGACAATGAAGAGATTGAGATTGTTAACATCTTTAGTTTGCTTGGCTCCTCAATCAACACTCTTAATACCTGCAGTCAGGAAATTAAAAGACAAATTGCATTGGGAAAGTCTGTTCTCAGGGACATCTCTGGAGTACTAAAGAGCAATGATGTCAGACTGAAGACTAAGGTACGCCTGATCCAGGCCATGGTCTTCACAGTTATGTGCTATGCATCAGAAAGCTGGACAATGAATAGGGATGATAAAAGGATAATTGATGTCTTTGAGCTGTGGTGCTGGAGATGAGTCTTGAATATACCGTGGAGTGCTAATAGAATAAACAGGTTCATCCTGGAGAGGATGAAACCAGGCTGCTTCTTGGAGTCAGAAATTCTGAGGCTCCATGTGACATAATATAAGCATGTTGCAAGGAGGGACCCATCCTTGGAGAGGAACATTATGCTTAGGAGGGTGGAGGGGAAATGCAGGAGAGGAAGACCCTGGACAAGATGGATTGACTTACTGACTGGGGTTATAGGAGTAGGTGTGTCAGAGACAATAAGGGTTGGCTCAGGATAAAGTAGGGTTCAGAGCTGTTGTACATAGGGTTGCTATGAGTCACAGGTGACTTGACTGTACTTAACAAAATAACAGACCTTTTATAGTATGTCACCTAAGAGATTAACTGGTCAGGAATGGAGAATTTGTTGGGTGGTTGTAGGAGGTAAAGTTGGCTATGGTTGAAATGGTGTGATAATGTAGAGGATTTTAAATGATAGGTTATTAAATGTGCTTTAAAAGACCTCTTTAAAATATTGAGGGGCAGGGATATCAGTTTAAGCATGAAAATGCATCTCATCAAAGTAATGGTATTTTCAGTTGCTTTCTATGCATCTGAAGGTTGGACAGTGAGTAGGGAAGAACAGAGTAAAAACCAATGACATTGAATTGCAGAAAAGAGTTTTGGGTATCCTGTGGACTACCAAGAGAAAAACAAGTCTGTTTTGGAGGGAGTGCAGCCTAAGTGCTCCTGAGAGGCAAGGATGATAAAACTTTATCTCACATACTTCGGGCATGTTAACAGGAGGAGCCAGTCCTTAGAAAATGTCATCATACTGGAAAAGGTGGAGGGTCAGAGAGAGGCCGACCCTCACCCAGATAGATTTACACAGTGACTAACAATGAGCTCAAG